AAGATGACCTGACAGAGTGCAGGGGAAGAAGCCTGCCCCGCCAGCCCGAACCCCCTCCTCCGCAGGGGGAGGGGCCACACAATGCCACTGGAGGCCGTGCGAAACGACCCGAAACACCCACAAATCATGGGACCAGGTATGAGCGAACAGTGCAAGACTCCCCCCCCATCGCCCCATTAATGGGGCGAACCGCGAAAAGGCCAGTGCCCCTTACGAGACCCAGAACCTCACACAGAGCAAACACTGTGCCGACCAGACGAAGGCTGGTCCGCAGGAGGAGCCGAACCCGAACCTGACACCAAAGTGGCCTACCACGTCGAGAGGAACCCCGAGCCTTGGCACAACCCTTCCGGAAAGATCCACCATGGGACCCCCAGAGAACCATCAAGTCCGACATAGGACGGCAAGAAGCTGAAGCAGCCTGAATATACTGCGCAACAGTGGAAACCTCAAACAAGAGAGGGCAACAAGGGGAAGACATTCTAAGACCCAAGGCCCAAGCAGATTCCACAAAGGAGGCAAGCACAGTCTGCCGACACGCGAGCCAGGAGGCATAAAACAGAGCCACCGCATCCCTAAAGATCGGTGCGAAAAGCTGCAGCAAGGCAGCCGACGAGCGAACCGCCGAGGCTAAGGCGCCAGACCCAGATCAGCCCCACGCACCCCCACATCCTCTGTGAGCCAGTTGGAAAACAGCTCCAGGAGGGAAAAGAAGTGCAAGGCCGCAACCAAAAGGCCCTGAGCGCGCAAGTCCTCTGCCACCTGCGCCGCCGAAAGGGAGGGAACCTGCACACGGAGCAGAACGACACCAACATCGCGAGGAAGGGCAGGAGCAAACAAGCATGCATTGAGGTGCTCAAGGTCTCCCCCAAGGAAAACCTGAAGCACCGTCGAAGCCTCCTACCACTCAAGCGTGCGGTAACGGCAGAAGGAGTGCCAAGCCTCCAAGGTAAAGACAGGAGAGTCCGACAGCCAGGACAACACTGGAACCTCGTAACGGAACCAGAAATGGAACGAATTCCAAAATTTGAAAGCCGAGGGATCCATTGGCGAGGCATAATCTGGGTCACGCAGGAGGTTTGTCGCAAGGGCCGCCCGCACCGCAGCAGGTTGGATGCGATAAGCCGAAAATCTCCGGAAAGACGGAACCGAAGTGCCCGGGAGAACACAGAACTGAACCAGGGAAGGGGCAGACGCCAAATCCAACTTGTACGCAGAGGGGGGAAAAGAAAACCCCACTCCTTGTAACAATAAGCCCCGCTCAGAGGGCAGAAAAACCCAGGCGGGGTTCAAGGCCCCGCTGAACCCCGGGGGCCCCTCCCCAGCCCCAGGTTCCTCCTCCGCAGGACCCGGGGCCGAGTCCTCCACCCAAGCACCGACCCCAATAAACAAGGCCGGCGCAGCCATAGAAGCCGGATAGAATGACGCTCACTGGTCATACCCAGAGGCTTCGGCCGGGGGAGGAGACTCGAATGCCTCCGTCGCCACACAGGAAGGGGCATTCCCCGAGACTGGCTGAGTCTCAAGACCAACGAACCCTTGTCCCGACTCCGAAACCCTCAGACGTTTCGGGGCCGGAAGCAGGGGAGGGGGGACCAGAACGAACAACAGGAGGGGAAGGACCAGGAGGTGCAGACTGAACCAGGGTTGAAGTGACCCTCACCCCAAAGTCCGGGTCCCTATAAGCAAAACGGGGTAGCCGCGGGGCATCCGGGTGAGCAACCAACCTAGCGCGTTGCAACAAACGAAACCTAGAATGCAACGCCTGCGCAGCCTGTACCCGAAGATGATGATCCACAGATTGGGTAAATTGAGTCACCAGCAAGCAATAATACTCACAGGACTCAGGGTCGAAAGTGTCACCGACCCAACAGGCTGCATGACGGAGGCAAAAACTATGAGGGTCGCCCTGAGACAAGGGGACCGAACAACCCTCAAACTCGCACAAAGCGAGGGGGGACCCTCGGGTCACATCCATCGGACCCATGCGTCCCCTAGGAAATTCCCAGGGTCCTGAGCGTTTACTTGAAGAGGAATCGCGCTCAGGTCATCCCAGGCAGGGTACTGCTAATCGGCGCCCAAATCTACCAAACAAACTGCCTAAAGCTGAACCCCAGGGACGTGTACACTCACAGGGACCAAGCAGGGGGCACCACCAAGTATCAGGGTGAGGCCAAACATTAGTGGCAAATAGGGCAGAACCCCCACCAAGGCAAAAAGAAAAACAAAACCCTGCAAGAGGACAACGTACCCCAAGGAACAGAGCCGGCCACTGTGATTGGTGATAACTAGCTGCACAGCACCCTGCACCCCTTACCAGTGTGAAAACTGCCTCTTACCCTAAGGTAAACTAGGGAGAAAAAACACCGAAGTACCCAAAGGGCAGCCGAGAAACCGAGCAGGTAAACGGACACACAGTGGCAGACCTTGAGGAACTTGTGGAAGGTAACCCCAAGCTCCAAGGGCAGTACTTACAAGGCACCTAGGGAAGGGAACCCTAGGCGCATGCAGCCCGAGTACTGAGGAATAACTCCTGGCTCTCGCACCCCTGGAGTACAACAGCCACACACAAGGCACAGCGCCGCAAAAATACTGGAGCCAGAGCACACAACTGAGCCGATAGCATCAGCCGCAAGAACTGGGGTGTGGATCGCCGGTGCGGTAGGTCTGAGGCTACCGCTTCCCCCCTCCCGGGGAGGGGGGGCTGCGCAGACAGCGGCGTGACGACGGGTGACGTCATACTAGTTTGCTCGTTTTTGTTTGGGGAGTTCTATCCACTCGTTCGTCTTTTGGTTGCAATTTTCACCAGAATAGGGGTTTGTTTTGGGACTCCTACCTTTCTAGGTGCCTAACCTGGTCGATGGCAGACATAGAATGCTTCCAATTACACGGGGGTTTCTATTGGCCATTGCTACCCTTGCCTCTCTAGAGGGGGCCAGGTTCTGGCTCGTGGTCCATGGCAGGCCCATAAGAACTCCATGCACATGACTGATGCCAAAGTCTGACATTAGCATATCAGCCTAGTAAGCTCCTGGGAGCCATAGGGGCTCTCCCCAGAAATAAATACATGAAGATAATTGAACAAGGGAGATGGCTCTACTTTTGTGCTTACGAGTTTATTGACTTTTTATGTGACGATATAACTTATGACAATTTTATGTATTGGCATTTGCCTGTTGAGGCAGATAACGTGATGTAGCAAAACGCTCCCTCCATTGTTGTTGTCCCTCAATCAACAAGCCTCAAAACGTTTTTTTCAAGTTAAAAGTGGTTTGCAAACACTGACATTTGCAAATACGGTTGATAACTTTTATAAGACAGAATAATCAAGCAATTATTAACCCTTAAACTGCGCATGGCGTATATATGCCATGAGTAACATGTCCCACTGTGCGCATGGCGTATATATTCGCCATAGGGTGCCAGGCATGATTTAAATGGCCCGCGGCTACATGGGGTTCACATCAGCTTCCTCAGGGCTCTTGTAAACAGATGACATATTTAAAAAAAATCATGGGCAATATTCTCCAGTGTGAGAGCCATAGTACTGTTGGAGCAACCAAGGTTGGTTCACGAAGCATGAGCTAACAGCGTTGATGTTCAGTTTGTGACCACAGCATCGCCTAAAAATGTCAAAATAAATATGTAACTGCTATTATTTAGCGATGACTATTATAAATAACCCCCGACTGTGATAAAAATGACCAGGATTGTTGTGATAATTAGAGCTGTTTGGGAGTAGTAATGCTGTGGGAGGGTCGTTTACTGTGTGGTCACCTGCTATTGTCTGCATTCACCATACCAGCTCAGTGGTTCTCTATGGTGAACACAAATGTAGATACTACACACATTATATATAAGAGCAAAAAGATTATGTTGGGAGGAGCCATTTGGGTGACGGAGGTGGTGTTGTCTGCATGACTTGTCTAGCTGTGAAGAGGGTGGCCACTACGCACCCTACAAGCTAAGATGTACAGTTACGGTGCACACAATATGTAGATACTTATATATAATGTGTGTGTATATAGTGTAATAACACCCCAAACTGTATTGTTGGGGGAGAAATTTAGTGCGCCTGACCTTGAAAGAGTGAGGGAGGCAGCCGCCAGCTACGTATGTAGCGATGTCTCTTAGTGCCTGAACTAACTATATCAGCTTAGTTGTACAGTTGTGAACAAAACAGGTAGATACTTTTATATATATATATATATATATATATATATATATATATATATATATATATATATATATATATATATATATATATAAATAATGCATGTATATAGTGTAATAACTGCAAAACTATTTGTTTATTGTTTTATGAATGTAATAATTGAACCACTAAAATAAACACGAGTATAGCGATGATTCACACATTTTATTATATAAATCTATCTCACTACACACCATTGAATAATATTACTGCAAAAAACTAAGAAAAAATCAATGAGAGACATTGAAATAATTAGGTAATAATATCTTTGTGGCAACTCCCACCAGACAGCTCGGGTGACGCTGACCGCCTCTGACAACTGCTCTGTCAACGCCCACATTTTGCCAGACTTCTTCGGCCTATTGCACCCAAAATATGTCACCTACGATTTTTTTTTTTTTTTTTTGCTGTGCTCAGGGAACACAAATTAACATTTTTCAGAAGACTAAAAAAATTTAAGAATTTGTTTTTTCTTGTGCACAGGGGGTGTAAATATCCTCAGGCCCCCTTAGCAGCTTTAAGGGTTAAATAAGCAATACAATACATGCATGAATATTATTTCCTCACGGTAGGGAAAAGCATGTGTGTGCACAGAAGGCATCATCACTTCCTCAAAAATATCAAGATATGTCAGTATTGAAACATCCCCAAGTATCAGTAAATTCTCTGACGCCATATAAACGAATCCACCTCCATACATTGCACAATATACTGTACGAGCTATTCATCTTGGGAAATGATCATCACAATATTCATCTAGGGGAGTTGACAAATGACAAAGACTTACCTGTTCAGCAAGTTCCCTGATAAGAAGAATAGATATAAAAGTCTTTCCAGACCCTGTACCAAGAACAAGAATGGAATTCTGCTTCTTAGCAAGCTTAAACAGCTCCACCTGGTACGATCTGGCAGAAAACTCCGAGCCATCTCTCTGCAAAAAGATGCAGTATTAGGTCATTATAATGCAAAACATACAAGAGAAATAAAAAAAAGAGCATTAATTCAACTACTTTCACTACACATAACTTCATGAGATAAACTTAAAAAAATAATTTTTGTTAGTATAGTACACCTAAACTTTCCCTCAGTAAGGAATATTTTTATTAATTTTATTTTGAAGCAACAATCATATTATACATCCAGCAATTATGCCCAGGGTTCCCATCTGACCACTTTTAAGGATCTGTCAACTCTGTGTCAACACACAAAAGCATAGGCTAGTCCCAGAACAAAGAGGCACGAGTTATAAGGAAAGGCTGCGTGAACTGCACCTAATATCGCTAGAAGGTAGAAGAGCTCGGGAAGACATGATCACCACATACAAAATTCTCGGGGGAATTGACAGGATAGACAAGGATGGATTATTTAAGATGGGTTATACACACACAAAAGGAGACAGGTGGTAGCCAAGTACCCAAAATGAGCCACAGAGACATTAGAAAGAATGTTTTCAGTGACAGAGTAGTTAGTAAATGGAATGAACTAGGAGGTGATGTGGTGGAGGCTGACTCCATACACAGTTTCAAATGTAAATATGATAGAGCTCGAGAAGTTCAGGAATCTGTACACCAGTAGATTGACGGTTGAGAGGCGGGACCAAAGAGCTGAAGCTCATCCCACCGCAAGCACAACTAGGCGAGTATACACACACACAAAAACTAAAAAGATAAACTTTTTAACATGGGTGGTTCGCAAGCAATAGGACACAGGTGGAGACTGAGTACCCAAATGAGCCATAGGGACGTTAGAACTTTTTCAGTGTCAGAGTAGTTAATAGATGGAATGCATTAGGCAGTGAGGTGGTGGAGGCTGACTCCATACACAGTTTAAAATGTAGATACGATAGAGCCCAGTAGGCTCAGGAATCTGTACATCAGTTGATTGACAGTTGAAAGGTGGGACCTAAGAGCCAGAGGTCAACCCCTGCAAGCACAACTAGGTGAGTACACACACACACACACAGTGTGTGTGTGTGTGTTCTCACATGGTTCTAGTGTATGAACGGAACACACAGTTCTCACATAGCCAAGGCTAGCCTGCGGACAACGAGGTGCCTCTAAGCGATGGACCGAGTCTTCCGTCACAGAAGTCTTGTTTCTTTCACAACTTTTGTTAGGCCAAAACTAGAATATGCAGTGGTTGTGTGGTGCCCATATCTTAAGAAGCACATCAACAAACTAGAAAAGGTGCAAACATGCTACTAAGTGGCTCCCAGAACTGAAGGGCAAGAGCTATGAGGAGAGGTTAGACATTAAATATACCAAAACTAGATGACAGAAGAAAAAAAGGTGATATGATAATAATAATAATAATAATAATAATAATAATAAATAAATATGTTTATTCAGGTAAGGTACATACATACAAGTGATGTTACATTATTGGATTGATATATAGATAGAGCTAGTACATACAATGCCTAAAGCCACTATTACGCAATGCGTTTCGGGCAAGAAAAACATTAATATCTAGAACTTAATACTAATTGAGCATAAAGAATAAAAAGTGTTGAGAACAAATACAAATAAAGATAAAAAAAAAGGGGGAACATGACTGAAAAAGCAGCACAAATACGATCAAATATGATTACTACGTACAAGATAGCAACAGGAAGTGACAAAATTGATAGGGAAGATTTCCCGAGACATGGAACTTCAAGAACAAGAGGTCATAGATTTAAACTAACTAAACAAAGATGCTGAAGAAATATAAGAAAATTCACTTTCACAGAGTGGTAGACAGTTGGAACAAGTTAAGTGAGAAGGTGGTGGAGGCCAAAACCGACAATAATTTCAAAGCGTTATATGACAAAGAATGCTGGGTAGACGGAACACCACGCTGGACGTGTGGTCGCGGGTTCGATTCCCGGCACCGGCAAGAAACAATGGGTAGTTTCTTTCACCCTGATGTGCCTGTTACCTAGCAGTAACTAGGTACCCGGGAGTTAGTCAGCTGTTACGGGCTGCTGCCTGGGGGTGTGTGTGGTGTGGGAAAAAATAGTAGTAGTAGTTAGTAACGGTTGATTGACAGTCGAGAGGCAGGCCGAAAGAGCAGAGCTCAACCCTCGCAAGCACAACTAGGTGAATACACTGTGTGGGAGAGAGAGTGAGCATCACACTGAGGAGTCACACTGCTGCAGGCTCCAGGATAATTCAAATTATCTAAGTGTTAGGAGTAGTAAGGGTTGCAAGTGGTGTCCCAGAATACACAAAGGTGTAGGGAATTTGAAAAGAAACTAAGAGATAAGAAATAAGTGTCTGTGAATGAAAAATCTTGGCTAGAAAAGTTGATCTTTCAAAACAGCAGAATGTCAACAAAGATGGCCACCACCACAGGGAAGGACAGCATCCCAACAAAGGAATGTTTTGCAGGTTTCTCACAACAAGATGTAATGAAAGGTGGTTTTCTTGGCAGGTTAGTGATTATTAAGGACATGCTAAAGAATTATGAAGAAAATGTAATTAAATTAAAACAAGAAAATGGAGGTCTCAAGATTGAGTTTTGTAATTTAAAAGGAAGTATTTTCCAGCAAGATAAGGAAATTACCAGCTTGACTAACAAGGTAAGGATGCAGGAGGCACACATCAAGGAACTAGTAATGGATAATGAGGCATGGAAAGTGATGAGTAGGGAATTTGAAAAAAAATAAACAAGAAGAAGACTCGTATGGTGAATAACTCCACGGGACCCTGAGGGCTAACATGGAGTTAGGCAAGGAGATGCAACGAGAAACTTTATTGGCAACTCAAATAGAGGAGGCTAATAAAGAACTAAAAAAGTATAAAGAAGAAATAAAAGAGACGTATGCACAAGTCGTAAAAAGAGAGAGAGACGATTAAGGAAGTGTGTTTGTTAGTCGAAACCAGAAATGACAAACAAGAAGTGAATCTTAGGCAAGCAATTAGGAAAGAACTGGTTACCAACAGTAAACTGGTACAAAACACTGTAGATAAAATTAAATCCATAATAATTTTTGGATGTTTAGAGAAGGAAATTTCCTCTAGGGTGGACAGAGCAGCAGCAGAGATGAAAATTATAGAAAAAATAGTAGGATTAGGAGAAGGCCTAAATTCAAAGGAGCATGTCAATGATTTTAGGAGGATAGGAAAATATGAGGAAGACAATAACCGCCCCTTAAGGGTGACGTTTAATGGAGTAAAGTATATGACAGAAGTGCTTCGGAATGCCAGAAAATTGCAATGTGACGAAAATGGCAAACCTTGGTCAATAAGTCAAGACCTCTCAAAGGAGGACAGAGAAAAGCTGAAAATAAACCTCATTGAAGTGAAACATCTAAATGGGGACGGAAATGAAGAAGAAAGGAATTAACAAATCCACAAGGACCGTGACGAGGATTCAAACCTGCATCCGAGAGCATCCCAGATGCTGCCTTAATCGACGAGCTACGACATGGTCAAAAGGAGTTGAAACCGAAGTTCTACTGAACTTACTGGATCCTGCGGCAGTTGTGGATTTGTTCATTTGACGCATCACGCAATTGTGATTTCTGTGTGTAAGAAAGGAATTCTTTTTTCTACAAAGTGTCAGGGACTGGAAAGCTAGTGAAATGGTACATAAAGACAAAGCAGTAAAATCTTTAAAGGAAGGGGGTGTAAAGAACAAAGAGAAGGTGAACATGTTCCTGAAAATAGTATATACACCAACATAGATGGAGTGAGATCGAAAATATTAAGAGTTGAAAGATATAATTCAGATCGAAGTCCCAGATATTGTCGCATTAACCCTCAAACCGCGCATATAATATATATATATGATATCAGTGACAAAACCGAAATTGCGCACATCATTTATATATGATTTCGTGTCCAGCGCTATAATTTAAATGCCCCGCCTGGGATAGGGGCAGCTATAGTACAGCAACGACCGATAGTTGCCAGATGCCACCTAGAAAAAAAATCCAGGCCAACATTCTTGGGTGTTAGAGCGTCAGTATTGAGCAAGCCACCAAGGCTGGCGCACGCAGCACAAGCTCACAACACCGCTGTTCAGCTTGTGACCACAGCATCGCCAACAAATGCCATAATATATATGATACTGCTATTATTTAGCAGTGATAGTATTACTGAAGCCCCCTGACTGTGATAAAACTGACCAGGATTCTGATAATAGCAGGATTGTGGTGATATTTAGCGCTGTGCTCCATGGAGGGAGGAGTAATGCTGTGGGAGGGAGGGTGGTGGCGTCGTCTTCTGACTGTGTGGCCACCATTTATTGACTGCACTCACCATACCAGCTTAGTGGTTCGCTATGGTGAACACAAATGTAGATACTAATATATAACGTGTGTATAGTGTGAGATAACAGCGAGAGGAGTAGGTTGGGAGCCGCCATTTTGGTGAGGGAGGAGTGTCGTCTGCACGACTTGGCATGTTGTTTACTGATGGCCACTATGGTCTTTGGGCACCATACCAGCTTATTTGTACAGGTATAGTGAATAAAACAGGTAGATACTTATATATAATGTGTGTATATAGTGTAATAACACCACAAACAATATTGTTGGAGGAGAAATATTAGTGTGTCTGGCCTTGAGGGCGGCCGCCGATCAGCTGACTGTGTGAGTAGCTACGTCTTTGTGCCTTTACTCACCATACAAGCTTAGATGTACAATTATGGTGAACAAAACATGTAAATACGTATATATAACATCTGCATATAGTGAATAAATGCAGAAACAGTATTGTAGGAGGAGAATGAGGCTGAGTGAGGTTGTGTTGAGGGAGGGAGTGGCAGCGAGTGGCTCGCTGGTGTTTGGCGGTCACTCCTCGTTGCTTTTTGACTCACAAGACCAACTTAGTAGTTCGTTATGGTGTACAAAACATGCAGATACTTAAATATAACCTGTGTATATAGTGTAACAACAGCAAAACTATTTGTTTATTGTTTTATGAACATAATAATTGAATCACT